AGCACATTATGAAATAGCCCAAGTTGAGTAACCCAAGACCTGCAATCATGTAGTAGAAGTGGTCCAGCTTCCCCCTGTTCAGATCCTCCGCCAACAATCTCCACCATCTTGGGTCCAATGGTGCACCACAGACACCAAGAATCCGCTCAAGTAGCTCGACGCCGCCATACCACAAAAGAAGAACGATCCTGCAATTACGAGTAACGACATGTCACTGATTTATAGATACTAAAGGACCCGATCATGGGATTTACGAACACGGATTTACGTTTCTAACCTGCAATGCTTCTCATGTTCTCCGGGAACTGCTTGTAGTACAACTCCACTTGCCCGACGGAGGTGAATGCCTCGGCCAGCCCTGCTAGCGAGAACTGCGGGACTAGCCACATGGCGGACATACCGGAAATAACGCCTTTCTTGTTAGATTCAGCGGTCGGCCCTGTCGGGACTAGAGATCTCCGCTGCCTCTCCACCAGGCGGCGACGAGTGATGTGAGCACAGATAGGGCAATTGCCGATGCCCATCCTCTGGAGAATTGTGATGCCGCTTGGTTTTCCGGTTACCCGCCGGAGAGCCGGCACCAGGACCCGGTCGTACAGGGGTATGAAGAGGGTGAAGGTGAGCATGTTGAAGACCGGGTACGTGCCTGCCGGAATTTGGAATTTGGACCTTCCGAGGTGCCGGTTTGATTGGAGAGCCTGAAAGACCGCGTAGGTTTGTTGTTGGACTATGGCAATGTAGTAGACAATGGCGGCAGCCCAGACTGGGATCACTCTTAAAACACATTTTACTTCTTCCACTTGTTGCATGCTGCAGAGTCTCCAACGGTTGGCCGGTGAGCCGTCTGGGTTGACTCTGTCCTCCGGTGCCCGAATCGCCGCCTTGTCGAGCCATCTGTGGCATTAAAATTAGAAATTTGAATGTTATGTCATAAAAATGACTTCTTGATTTGGGAGATGTTACGCCCTTGTATATTTTCAATTTTGTATCTTGTAAATTATTTATAATTTTTACAAAGTTTACAGCCATTATCAAATTTAAAATATTATTCAAAATATAAAATTAGTCTTGAATTTTTTTACAAGCAACTTATTGCTTGCCATGAAGTTCATATATTTTTATTTATTAAAGTAGGTATTTTAAATTTTATTTACCAAAATATATATATATATATATATTTTTTTTTTAAAGTTGAGAACTTGACAAGTTGGCCTAAAAAACTTACTTTTCAAAATAGTCTGATATACTCAAACTGATTTTTTTTGAGAAGTTCGTTTGATAAAAATTAAATTTAATAAAAAAATCAATTCAGTAAAAACTGCTTTTTAGTTAAGAATTTAGTTTTACTCAAAGTAATTTTCTAAAGGAAGTCTGTTAGGAAACCAAAGAAAGTCAAGGGGTGGAGGTGGAGGTGGAGGAGGCCGAGAAGCGGAGGTGGAGGAGGCTAAGGGACAAGTAGGAGTGGAAACAGAGACAATTGTGAAGGAGCTAGCGCCAGTTATGCGATAGTGAGGACGATGCAATGGCAAGAAAGAACAAGTGTGGAGAAAGAGGAAGCTCCAAAATTGCAATTTAGTCTCTCGATTTTCTGCCTTCTTACAAACATATCCTTGATCTTGGATTAGTTCCAATTTGCCAAGTTGGTGCTGCTCCGCCCCACTTGCTGTGCATCCACCCCTGCTTGAATCCATCTCTCGGCCTCCTCTGTCTCAACCCTTCTTCTTCCACCTCTTGGCCTTCTTCTGCTTTTGAACAGACTTTTTTCAAGAAGTTAATTAACTATAAACTGATTTCTTAAATAAAACCAGTTTGACTTGAACCAAAATTTTTATTGAAATCGGTTTTTGGCATCCAATTGACTTCTTTGTGAAGTCAATTTTTTCGGCTAAAAAAAAATAAATATTTAGATAAATAAAAATTTAAATGCCTATTTTAGTAGATATAAAATATATACAACATCCATATAAAAAAGCCTTATTACTCCCATTCTCCTTGCCTGAAACAATTTTTTTTTTTTTAAATCCTCCAATGCACGTATCATTTATCAATTTATAAACATAAAAGAACAAAAACAAAAGGGTTATCAAACACAACTTCCCCACTTCTTTCTTCGAAGCCACACGACTTTTCAGTTTTGCCCTAAGTTCTACGACGAGGTCACTGTCTATTGGACCCAAAGTCAACCTGCTCCGACAAGTGACAATGATTTTCCTTTTTTTTTTGAGAAATTTATATCACAAATATATATATTATAACGAGGGAGAAATTTAACATAAATTGGCGTGATCGATGCAACCACTGTGCCCTTTCCACCTTCGACAAGCTTTTGGCTTGTGAGAATGGCTTTAAGTCCAACGTTCACATTCAATCATTCAGCCAAACGGGACCCATGAAAAAATATTAATTGCCAATAATTTGCCCAATATGCTTGACCTTTAAAGCACAGGAGTTGATGTAAAATGCGACCATAATCGAGTCAAATGTATTACATAAAATCTTCTTTAAGCTGTCCGAAAATAGTCAATTTGATTTATTGTATTATTGAAGCAATCACAGAAGATTACCTGAATTGGGGCGTGTAAGGAAGCTTGGAGTTGATAGACTTGGGAGGCAGATGGTTGAAAAGTTCTAGCGACGGCCGCTTCGATGGTGGCAACCGCCTCTTCCTCGCCGCGACAGCCAACACCTGGGCCACACTGGTGAGTGGACTACCCTCCGGCTTCACCATCACATATATCCCCTTCCCGCGAAGAAAAGCACACAAGACACCAGCATAAAGCCCGTCGGAATCGCCAGCCCAATCGCCCAACTCACCTCCGATTGCACGTAAACTACCAGTGTTAGCGACACCATCACGGCGAAGGTAAGAGTGAAGAAGTACCAGTTGAAGAAGCTGTCTACGCCTCTCTTTCCGGATTCCGTATTGGGGTTGAACTGGTCGGCGCCGAAGGCCAGGTTACAGGGCCGGATTCCGCCGGCACCCACCACCATCAGCCCAAAGCCCATTAGCAAAAAGGCCATTTGGCCTGCTGTTGGGCCAACGCAGGCGGCGTCGGAGCTGCAGTGGGGAGGGTGCAGAGCCTTGATTATTGCTGTCAGTGCAATTACAAACAATCCCTGCAGAGTAAAACAGAGTCATCTGAATGGAGTCCTGAAATAGCCCTGATTTTGAAAACTGTTTTCTGTTTTATCTTCTGCCGTTCTTATTCTTAATTTTTTCGTATTTTAAAAGCATATACTTAAATCTTTAATACTCTTCTGTTTTCATATTGTATTTGTTTTTTGAAAAATATTAGTTTCCTTCGAATTTGTAAGGATGCTTCTATGTTCTTTAGAGAAGGAGGATCTGCTTTCTAAAATTTCTCCTGAGAACAATTTCCAAAACAACTTGTCGACCATGTTTTATTTTTTTTTTACATAAAAAATCCAAGTACGGATACTCTATATTTCACATCGTTTCATTATCGGATAAAAATAATTTTTGAGAATTTCATAAAAAAACGTTTTGTTTTTTCCTAAACATGGGCCTGTTATTTAAAAATTATTTGGAAAACAGTTTTCCTAAAACAACTTGACAAAAGGTGTGTGCGTGTGCCAGAACAGAAAAATGTTTCCAAAAACAAATCCAGCAAACCTGTCTCTGGGTTTGCGCTAGTTACGCAAAAGCTCTCAACAAAACAGGATTTTCGTGAGCCAAACATGAAAATTCCCCGAAGACCCACACTTTGATTATAACAAAAAGGAGCTCCTCTTGGTTTTCGGAGTACGAGGAAATAAGCAGCGGGAAATTTGATACCAGAAAGGAAGCGACGGAGGCGAACCCCAGAGTCTTAAACCGACCAAAGTAGGTGTCGCAGAAGAAAGCTCCCAACAGGTAGCGAAATTGGTGGTTCCATTGAAGACGTTGATGAGAGTCGTAGCTGTTATGCTTTTCATGTTGAACACTGCCGTGAGGTAGACCAGGAGATTGGCCAAGGTCCCAATTGCCCCAGCTTCTCAAACGTCTCATTTCCTGCCAAAAAAGTGAAGCTCAGGGGGCGAAATTGAAAAAGAACGAAGGTCAAAGAAAGAAGAGAAAAGGGTCCGTTTCTTCCATACCTATGATGAAGGGCATGGCCTTCACTCCTCTGTAGTTAACTGGAGGGTCATTCTCCATAGTTTCTTTCTCATTCTTCTCCATTATGTTTCTAATGGAGGATTTTCTGTCTCACAATAATCGGAGGTAGTGGGGTTGATGGTTATAAATCTAGTCCTCTGGGTCTTTGGCTGACGGCCAGACCACACTTCGAGTAAACATTAAAGGCCCGGTGGTCCACGTGTTTTTGTTCCTTCAGTCGACGGGGAAAGCTTGTCTGTTTTCCTCAGCAGTGTGAAACTGACTTTTAGGAGGGGCTAAATTTGGCTTTTACCGGAAAGAATTGTGTGAACAAGTCTGCTTATGATTTATAAGTAAATGCAAAAAATAAAAATAAAAATAAAATGATTATTTCTTCATTTATAGACGTTAGTTATTTTGGGTTTTTTCTTCAATTTCTAATTTTTTATTAAACAAAAGAATAGGAAATGTGGAGACCAGAAATCCTAAAAAAACCAAATCTAAGGTGACGTTTGGAATAAAAGTGGTTTTGGATTCTTTTTTTTGGTCAAGAAAAAATTAAAAAATTTTCTAATGTTCGATTTATTTTAGAAAAAACTAAAATTTTTTGTTTGATTAATTCCAAAAAATTTATATATAAATGTAAAGAAAATAACTGTAATATTTTGACCATCTTCCTCTTCTTATTAAATGTTCCATTTGAATATTAAAAAAAGAAAAAAGAAAAGAAAAGAAATTCTCAAAATGGTATAAAATTAATAAAATCAGATTTTTTGAAAAAGAAATTCAATCAAATTCAATATTATAATATAAACTAAGTTTAGTTAAATTACGAGTTTACCCAAAAAAACAGATAACTTATAAATATAAAAAGGAAGGAATTCAAGATGAGTTTTTTGAACTAAAACCTAAGTACTTAAACTTGTCTTCCTCTTCCTTATCCTTTGAACTGATTTTCAATGAATCATTCCAATGGGTTGAGAATAAAGCAGCAGATGTTCACCTTTCTAGAAAGTAAAGAAATTATTAGGGGCGATCATTTAGAGGTCCCACGTATAATTAACAAAGATGCAACGTCAATTATAGCTGATTTAACGGCTGATTAATAGGTGTTACAAAATATTTTATTTTACTTATTTTTAACCTAAATTATAAATTTTAAAATTTAATTTGTATGACAAAATAAAATATTTATCAAATTTATCTAAAAATAAAAATTTAATTTCTAACTTTTGTTTTCCTTTCCTATTCAATTTAAAACTTTGATGTATAAAATTATAATAATAGAAATATTATAGAAATTCTAATTAGGTTCACGGAAAATAGGAAAAATATATTATTTTCTATTAATTTTATAATTTATAATTAATTTTATTTAAAATACCGTAACTATCTATTTTAAAAGTATATTTTTATAAATTTAAATTTAATTATTTTTTTTTATAAATATAAAAATATTTTCTCACTTATACCATATTTATTGAACTCAGGGACATTAGATTTGAATATCTGTGGGCTGATGCTGACTTTATTTTCTGTAGCAGCAGCCAATGAAGACCACAGCATGTGCTCAGCAAGTTTTTCAGTGTTGGACATGATATGATAATATGAATGTGGGTATACAGGAATTTAAAGTGGGTTTAATTTATATTTTATCTTATTAATAGAAGTTCTAAAATTATATAAAAGTGAGAAAAGATATATTTATAACTGTTTAAAAAAGTAGGCATGGAATGCATATATTCTTCGTTAATTTTAAAAATGTTAATATTTTTGACGTGTCAAAGAACAAAATTAAATAGAAACAAACAGGATTTAAAGTGTAGTGGGTGTGATGAAATACGAAAATTTCCAGAAGTGTTGGTTTTTAATAGTAACAAAATTGCTTGCATGCAAAATCAAAAGCATCGAGAGAGCAGTCTCCAATCCACACCATCCTACTAACAATATGAGCACAACCGTTAGCTTCTTTCTTTGTAAAATTGGCAACACAATCCTTTAACATCTTCCTTGCGTCATTCAAGAATCAAACCAGCTGGGTCATCTTCTTTGGCTGTATAAAAATAAAAACTATAAAAGCAAAGTTGGTTCTAAAAGAATTGATTTTTATTTTTTGCTAAAAAAAAAGATAGAAAGCGACTTACTTTTCTTATAAAGAAAAATCTGTTTTAGTGAAATCGACTTTTTAATCAAAGTCAGTTTTGTCCGAATTGACTGTTTTTCAATCTAAAATAAATAAATAAAAAATTTTATTAGAAAGTTGGTTTTACGGAAAGTGATTGTGCAATATGAACTAACTTCTCAATATTTCATTTTAATCACATTTTGGTAAGTAATTAAAAAAATTCATATTAGTATAAAAATACTTGGTTATTTCACTGTGGCTTCTAATAATCTTTTAAAATTTTTATTAAAATCTAACTAAGTATTTTCAAGTTACATTCAATTGAAAATATAGGATTTTGCGGATATTTTACACTAAATTTAAATTTGGAATTGCAGTTTGAACTTCAACCTTAGTCAATTCGGTCCCTCCCTGGTTTGACATTAGCGAAACTTCCATATTTTGTCACTCAACTTTGCTTAATTTTTCATTTCAGTCACCAAACTTCAATTTGGTCAGTCTCTTCTCCCCATGGAGGATTGAGGAAACTGATGATTTTATGGGTTTAATTGTACAATTAAAATTTGATAGGTGTGCGTAATATAAATATTTTTGAGAGAAAAGCTTGTGAAAATAATAAAGCAATTTATTACTGGTTCCTAGGAATTGAACGCGTAAACGAAGGAATGAACATAGTTGGGTGTCTGCTTGTCCTCCACGCGGACTGCCCTTGGAAGAAATTAAGGGTAGTTGGGTGGGTTGACTGGTGGGTTTGGGTGGACTTCTTCGCATGACCTATCTGTTGCAAACTGGCGTCCACAAAGGTTTCATTTTTCAACTGTTTCCTTTAAAAAAGTCCCCGTCAGTCCAAGTTGATAAAAATTACAACAATTAGGACGCGTTGAAATGAATAATATCAGGCTGATTGATATCTGTTTGATGCCATAAATTTATATTAAAAAATTAATTTTAAACGTTTTGTGTAATTAATAATGTAAAAAATTAAAACATTTATTTTAAAATAAATGATTCAATTCCGTAAAAATAGATAAAATTTATATATTTTGTATAAATAATATTATATGTTGAATTAGAATACTTAATTTTAATTTTTTTAATAAAATTGAATCAAAACAAATGAAAAAAAATACAATTCTAACATCCAGCAAGTAACACTGAAACTTCCACTTGTTTTTTGTAAAAATAATTCAAAATTTTTTTTTTTTGACAAACAGGAGAGAGAAGGAAATTTTACTGATGTAGGGTTGATCTATTAAACTGGTCATTATACCCTGTGCCTAATCTGTCTAATCAGTTTTTTTTTTTTTAATTTCGATCATCCAACCTCACAAGTTACAACTAGTAACTGTGAATTTTACAGATATGTATGGGCTTAAATAAAAGTCAGCTTAAACAAATTATGCAGCTTAAACAGGTTAATGAACACGTCTAGGTACAATCCTTGTCAATTAGAAGTAATCTTCGTCGGAAATGTTACCAACAAAACAGTCAAAACTCGCCAGCTAGGAAACACAACCCTGATTGGAAGGATAGGTGGGTCGTTGGTGGTGGTGGCACAAGAAAGAACCAGCTACCAAGTTGTTTCCCAACACTATTATAATTTTTATTATAATATATATATATAATATAAATATATATTATCTATATAAATTTTTAAAGTTTTTATTATAAGTGTTTTTGTCTGTTTTATGATTTAAAACTAATTATTTAGAAATATTATAGTTATTTTTTTTTAAAAGTGGATTTTTGTAATTTTTAACCTGACTTTTATATGTAAATGTGAGAGCAACTTATCACATTACTACACTCAGTTGGGTATATAATGAATATATTTGTGTTAACAATAATTATATTAACATTTTGTAAACAATTAAACTGCATTTTAACAGCAAGTTAATTATAAGTATAAAGGTTTAAATAATTAAGTGCAATTGTTTAAACCTATTTCGGGTTTTTGAGATGGGATAGAAATTGAGTAATTGCGACATACAAAGGAATAAGAATTTACCCGCTGATATTATGACTCTTTTTTTTTAATTAAGAAGGGTTGGAATTTACTCAAATGTTTATTTGACAAATAAATAGATTTATTTTGATAGAATTTAATTGAATTCTAATAACTAATAAGCAAACAAAAATAATTTAACAAAAAGTTAAATATATCAAATCATATTTTTTTTCTCATTTTGTATTTACATATTTACCATTTATTTACTATCAAATATATAAAGAAATTGTTAGTAGCTTAAAGTAATAAATAGGTAAATTTTAAACAAAGTGAAACATATTATTTATCATGTGATATAACAACTTTTTTATATATATAAATTTTTTTAATTTCAACTCCACGCATTATTTATATATGATTATATCTATTTTAAACTTGAAATATAATTAAATGAGATAAATATCGGCATCATTCAACAAGATGAACAACTTGACAATTTGGATAATCTGAAATATAAGCAAATTTATTTTTTAGAGACAAATTTTTTCATCTCTACAGAGAAACGTTTTAATGTACTCGAGACGGGTGTTGAACATAACCTATAACTAGTACAACTCACAAGGATAGCATGCCGGCCGCATGCAACTTTCCCATCTTTTCCATGCAACCAAACAGGGTGCTGATCAAGCTCTCTCTCACTTTACAATCTTCATGACGAGCTTTCACCCTTTAACTTCTGTTTTCAGCCTCTAACTTAACCTAACTTATATTTTTCAAGACTTAGACTTAATGGAGCTGTCCGAGGCAACATCATTTCTTCTCCCTTCAAACACAAAACGACTCGAGAAGAAATTGTAGTAGCAGAAGTTGATTGCTGCAAATCCAGCCACTAAAAAGTAAAAAATAATCAAGCCTGTTGGCGTTTAGGTCGTGACCGCCAAGCCATGGCGCTCTTCCGTTCCTCTTACTTAAACTGTGAACCAGATTGACGAGCACCGTGTTCAAGTAACTCGCGATGGAGAGGCTGAGAAAAGTTTGACCCAGCCACGCTTCTCATGCTCTCTGGCACCTGGTTGTTGAAAAACTCCATTATCGCTACCGCCGCGAAGGCTTCGAGCAGCCCCGAGAGCATGAATTGAGGGAGGAGGGCGGCGAAGCTGAGGGGCGAGGTGAAGGAATGGTGTTGAAGAGCTAATTCGCGGCGCCTTCGCTCACGAATCCCGCCACCACCATGCACACGATCGACATGATGATGCCTATTCGAATTCTTTGTTTCGTGGAGAGCCTCGCGTAATCTTTACCGGGGTTGATTTTCTTGGCGCAGGGTATGTAGACGCACTCAAAGACGAAGATCCAAAAAGCAAGCGTCAGCATCGAGGTAAGCCCAATCCACCCTGGAGGGACTGGACGTAGATACTATCCAAATTTAGTGCAAGATATGAGAGAAACATGTTCCACGTACGTTAATTAGGCTAAATTACATTAGACGCCTTATCAACTAATTTTCAATTTGGTACTTTGCCCTGGGTTTTCCTGAATGGGCACAACAGTTTAAGGATTTGCACCTTGTCATAAAACATGGCAATGGCATGGTATTTTCTTTCCTTATTTTAGTCAATTAGGACCGCGGTTAATACTAGGTTAGATTTATACGATCATCACATTTAAGTGTATTTGATTGCCAAAATTTAGATTCAAGAGACTACGTTGAGACCTCTACATAGTGCAGGACCACTTGTGCAATTTGCCTAATAAATCAATTATATTATTAATTTTAAATTAATTTTGAGCCATTAAAAAAATGTCACCCTTACCTTGAAGTTGCGCACGATGGTGTTTGACTGGATGACCTGGAGGATCCCGAACGTGTTCATCTGGTCCATGACGACGAAGCAAGCAATGGCGGTGAACCAAACGGGAATAATACCCACCAAACACTTCAACACCCACTTGCTGGATAGTACACAACCGCCATTCATTACTCGCCAAGCCTTCGGAGTTCAATTCACTCGGATCTAATATAAGAGCAGCCTTATCGATGCATTTCACCGATTAGTGCGAGCGAAAATGCGGATTGTTGGTCCGATTTCAACGTTGGAGGGTCGTAAAATTTAGAATCAAGGGTGATTGGGAGTTTTCTTTTGCTCCAGGAGGCGTTAATGACCTTGAAGATGTCGACAAAGACGCTGCCGCGGGGGGTGACGTAGACGTAGAGGTGGCGACCATGGAGGAAGATGATGATGGAGATGATGAAGCAGCCAGTGGGGATGGCGAAGCCCAGGACCCAGCTTACACTGGTCTGTATATAGACGACGATGGTGAGGGCGAAGATGAGCGCGACAGTGAAGGAGAAGTACCACCAGTCGAAGAAGCTCTTGAGCTGGGAACGACCCTTTTCTGTCCTTGTGTCGAATTGGTCAGCGCCAAAGGCGATGTTGCAGGGGCGGATGCCGCCGGAACCGATTGCAAGGAGTGAGAGAGCCGCGAAGAGGAAGCCCAGTTGCCATGAACGAGGCTGCACGCAATTGGAGTCTGTCTCGCACGCAGGCGGCCTCAGATTGGTTATGCCTGCGCTTAATGTCATCATTCCCATGCCCTGTAAAAACCCAAACGAATTTCTTGTTTACTCTTCCCAACGGTTAAAATTAAACTTCTGATCTTCATAGTTTCATTTCATTTCCAATTTGATCATCCTAGTTTCAATTTGCAGCGTTTTCAACAATACCAAAAAAGGCAGAATAAAGAATGAAAAAGAAAATACAGAGAGGGAGATGGAGAGGTTGGGGGTGTTAAAAAATATACCAACAAGGAAAAGACAGAACCAAAGAGAAGGGTGAGGAATTTGCCGATGTAGGCATCGGAGAGGAAGGCACCAACTAAAGTGGTAAAATTGGAGCAACCAGACCATATATTCACCACGTTCACCAGGAACACCCCTTCCAAATTGTACTTGGTTCGCAGATATACAGTTATATTCGCGATCAGACTCATGGAAGCAAGCTTCTCGAATGATTCATTTCCTTCATCATCAAAATTAGACAAGATTAATTAATGAACACAGAAATCAAAAATGATTTTTCATATTAAACCAAACAGCACTTATTTGTATTACGTACCTAGAATAAATGCTATGGCTTTCCATCCTCCTCGTTTTCTTGGAGAAGTAGGGAATGGTGGTGGTGGTGGTGGTGAGGATGGCGATTCCGGATCCTCCATCATCTGTGTCTTCATCCTGCTATGCTTCCTATTGTTTCGTTCCTAACTTGCAAATGCATGTCTTGTGCATGTGTGAGAGAGAGAAACCATAAGGAGTCTTCCTAAAACTGTTTCCCTTGTAATTAGAAACTAAATTACTACGTGTGGTGTTTGGGCAGTTAAACATCCCTGCCACAACTACTGGCTTGCAAACTGAAAACATAAATAATATTTATATATTTAATGACGTGGATTATTATTAACCATTAATTTAATGATACCTATCTTTAAAAATAGTATTACAAAATGCCATTGCCACAGTAAAACCCACGTCAAATCACGAACAAAAATGATTTAATGGATGGGCCAATGCATTAGGGTCATAAGCCGGGCACCATTAGCCCTTGAACACTGGGACGTCCCCTCCTTGGTGCGAATAATATATATCTTGTTCCACAATATGGTAGTGGCAAGAAAGCTTATGGTGATACCAGCACACCTGATAATCTTTTCTTGTACGTAGGAATATTTTTTTTGGTTTGTTTTATATGTGAATAGAGTTTACACTTGTACATATATATATTATTGTTTTGGTGAATACAATAGAGTTCTACATCATTCTACTTCTATCAACTTTTTCTTATTCTTCTTATAGTCTTCTTCACTGATGATTGAATACTCTATCATATCTTAATGACGAATTAAAAAGCCCCTTGTCTCTTTCTTCATTTTTTGTTTTATAACTAAAATATGAAGCGGGCGAAGCTATTTTTCAGTTTTTACCATTGCTCCCGACCCAACTCCCCCCCCCCCCACAAAAAAAAAATCCTCCCATGCATAAGCAATTTTTTAAAGAATTCGGAGCTAAATCAAAAAGAGAAAACTGGGAACAAAAGCTTCTGAAGCTTGGAGATGTAAAAGGATTCTCAGATCAGAGGGGAGAAAGGCACACTCCCTCATGTTCAACTTGATGGAGAGGCTAAGTTTGGCAAGTTGATTCACACAGGAGTTTGTTTTCCCTCCAAATGTGATAGATCTTTACATGCCATTGGTATTGAAGTAAAACATTTATCCACCAGATGATAGGGATAACTACAGCATTACTTGTTCACTTCCTGTTTCATGTCCATTATCTCTTCACAATCCTTTTCCAAAAGAATCCTTTTGAGACCACACACATTTAGCACTAGAGTTGTAACTTGACCGATATTATTCGAATATCCTAATCTAATCCCCTCCATAATCTTTTAATAACCCTCAAAAACTCACCTTCTTAGAACTAGGATTGAAAGCATCATCTATATTGAATTTGACCCAAGTCTCCTTCAGGGGCGCCACCTATCTTTGGCATGGATTCTGATTCTAGTGCTAGTGTTGAGCTTCACTCATGCTTAAACTTCTGGTTGTATGAACGATCAAGGTGATGGAGTAGGAATGTCAGCGATCAACCAGCCCAAGGCTCTTCAGCGGATTGGGCTCATGGAAAAGCCCTGAACCTGGATCACTGGCCTTATACAGCCATGGGCTCTCAATGGCTGTCTTGTTAGCTAAAGCCCAAGATTAGATTTACATCTGGTAATTCGGCTCGGAAGAAGTAGCCCTGGGAGTCTAAGAGCCCGTCTGGTTACGAATAAGAAAATAGAATTGAAAATGTATTTGATTGGATTATTTTATATTTTTTATTGAAAATATTTTCTAAAAAATAGGTTAAAAATTCATCTTTTCTCTTACTTCAAAGCTTGAAAATTTAATTCTTTCCTCTATAGTACGAGAGTAATTGCTGTTTTCCTATGAATTATTTTTAAAATTTTTTTTATTACAACGCCACAGTTTCCTTGTGCTTTTTCTCCAATAAATTTGATCCACCATGACATTTGAAAATTAACGGGTGTTTGGTATATGAAAGAAAATTAGTTTTAAAAAATTTTAAAATTTTGGCTTTTGCATAATATTTGGCCAGCACGAAAAAAATAAAAATTAAGAAAAGATTTTAGAAAAAAGAACATTTGAAAATTAGATATTATTAATTTTTTTAGGCCTTTTGTTATACTTTTTTTATTTTTATTTTTTTTATTTTTTAACATTTAAATAAGGTATACAATGAAGAAATAAAAAATAATAAAAAACCTGTTTTAAAAATTTTAAACTTTATAAGGGTACACCGAAAAAACGAGTGGTATTATAAATATTAATAAAAAATAACCGACTTATTATTTTTTATAATTACTTTTGAATTCAAAAAGAAACAACTTAAAAAGAATAGAAGGGTGACGTGTGTGTGTGTGGCTGCTGACTAGTGTATATACGTATCAGCCATATACAGACACGCACATATATGTCGGTATTTATATATTATGATATGTCACATCTGTACGTATATATTGAGTGAGCCTGTATAGGTTCATCCAATATGTATATCCGTGTGTGTATATTGACCGAGCCTTAGCCTATGTAAGTATATATTGAGGGAGTCTATGCATACATTAGTCAGCAGCGTATGTGTGTTCAGCAGCCATATATATGTATGTGTATATATGGAGTGAGCCATATATACAGGCTTACTCGATATACATGGTTTATATATTGTGTGTACATAGAGTCAGCAGCTTGAGTCAGCCGTGCATATATATGTATATACATATATATATGTGGCTGCTGAATATATATATATATATATATATATTTTATATATATCTGGATGGATTGGCCTTGTCCTTTAGTAGAAAATACAAAGACGAATCTGTCGACAACCATTTGGCATCCCATATATATTGTCCTTTAGTAGAAAACACAAAGAAGAATCAGTCGACAACAACCATCTGGCATCCGTGTGATATTATATATATATGGCTAACTCTGTGTTTTTTACTAAGCGTGTACAAAGAGAGAGAGAGAGAGAGAGAGAGAGATGGAAGTGAGAATGGAGGAGTGCTTTGCATGGCTGATAGGATTAATTCCAGTAGTTGGTTGGGTGCTGTGGTGTTGGAACGATTTCTGGTTTGGCCTCCAAATTAAAGCGAGAAATAAATCCAATAAGCTTCCTCCTGGCCACATGGGTGTTCCATTCTGGGGAGACGCTCTCTTCCTCTGCTACTTCAAGTGTCTCTCTCGCCCCGACGATTTCATCAATTCTAAACGCCAAAAGTAACTTCTAAATTTATGCAGCTATAACTTTTTTTTTTTTTTTTTGCCTTTTCTGATAGAATTTTTTTAGCATTTTTCCTCTTTTTTTTTTTTTTTTTTGAGACATTACAGCGAACACCTGGTGTGCAAGCATCCAAAATCCCACGTCCAACCCATAAAAGAAACCTTCGGAAACAGTACCATAAATGAAATACAGACCAACAACAGAGACATCCCGAATGATCGAATTTTGTGTTTATGATCAGGTACGGTGATGGAGTGGGAATGTACAGGACCCACCTGTTCAGATCGCCGGCCATCATAGCATGCTCCCCGTCGGCCAACAAATTTGCGTTTCAATCGCACGATAAGTTCATCCTGGAATGGCCCACCGTCGAGATCGTGGGGTCAAATTCAGTGGCAGCAGCACAGGGGAAAGCCCACACACAGACTTCGAAGTTTTGTGTCGAGGGCCATCAACCAGCCGGAGGCTCTCCGGTGGATAGCCCTCATGGTGCAGCCACGTGTCATCTCCCTTCTTCAGTCATGGGCCCTCAAGGGTAGAGTTATTGCACACCCGGAAGCCAAAAAGGTCACTTCCAACTCTCACAAGTATTAATTTAATACCTTAGTTGCCCACATCACATGTTCTGCTCAGAAATCATGATAACAATTTTTTGCTTTTAGGTGTTTTGGTCCCACGTCTTAAGATCATCAGCATTTCATGTTCGGTAGTGATGGAGTCACTGACGTCATTATGTGTCGAATACTAGGTACTGCTGGGTTATTGACATTATTATTATGTGTTGCATCAGCGGTATTGACACTCATATTGATCCAAATAAATAATTTTAAAATTTTAATTTACTTTTTTAGATATTTACATGTATATTTATTTATTTTGTAATTTTGATTTTAATTTTATTCAAAATACTGTAATTATATTTTTCTAATTTACATTTTAACGAATTCAAATTTAATTTTTTGTCATAAGTATAAAATACTACTTTATGTGATACCTCAAGTCCAATTTATCGAGTCTTCAAATTTAATTTTCTTCCAACGAATTTTTTTAATCTTATTTAAACACATGTTTCATAAATTCAATTTAATTCTCTTTTTTCTACAATTTTACTATAATTTTCACTATTTACAAACTCAATGTTAATTATACTTGGAGAATTCTGTGTATTATAGCGTAAATTTATTTTTGTAATTTGATTAAAATATACTCTTATTTTTTTATAATAATGCAAAAATATATATCTTTTCATAATTTAATTAATATTAAAAAATTAATTTAACACGTAAAAAGTTTGAAAAAAAAATTGAACAGCTTTTTATTAAATTAAAATTGAATTCATTGTTGTGTGTTATTGCAGGTGACATTTGAAAATATTGGAAAGATTTTTGCAGGCTTTGAGGCAGGACCTGTTTTGGATACTCTGGATCGACTGTTCGAGGGGATGTTGAATGGCGTTCGAGCTTATCCCGTCAACTTGCGGGAACTACTTACCATCGTGCTCTACAGGTCAATTAACCAACCTATTAAGGGTTTAAAATTTATTTTTTTATCATAAAAATATTTTAATTAAAAGTAGATAATAATTAAATATAGATTTGGTCCTCAAACTTCATTGTTATTGGTCAAAACGGTTCTTCTGGTAAATCCCTGTTAAGTTTACTCCATTCATTTCCAGGTAAATTCCATTGATAGTCACTAAACTTTATACTTATTTCAATTTGGTACAATTCATTTATTGAATTAACTATTCATCAGTAGGATGTGATGAAGGACATTGGATACTCCACTTATAAGTTTTTTTCTAAAATAAAAAATCAAAGTCAATCATCTTCAATAGTACTCTTAAAATGTTCAGCAGTAATTCATTGTGAGATGTGATATGTAATTTATTATTTTACAGTGTCGAAAGAAAGCGGAAGCAATTGTTTGGAAGTAGTTGGAGAGGAGGAAGAGAAACAGAAAAGAAGGGAAGAAGCAGAATGATGTGATGGAGGGTTTAATGGAATTGAAGGATGAGGAAGGGAGGGGTTTAAGCGAGAGGAGGTGGTAGAAAATATTGTGGGCCTAGTTGTTGCAGGCTACGAAACCACCAGCCTTGCCATTACATGGGCTCTTTACCATCTCGCCAAGTATCCCAAAATTGTTCAGAAGCTTCGGGTATACGTCAATTTTACTTACTGTTTTACCTTCTTCCTCTCCATTCTCTTCCTCGTCATCACTTACTGTTTGAATGTTACAGGAAGAGAACATCCCTGTTAACAGGAGAAAGAACGGGGAGTTCATTACTAGCGATGATATTTCAGAAATGAAGTATACTGCCAAGGTCTCTTGCCATTTTCAATCAAAATTTCTATCTTTCTTTGTTTTGTGGTCTAAATATCAGTTGTTTTTATAAATCGTGTTAACCAATCCAGGTGGTGGAAGAAACAATAAGATTGGCCAACATTGCACCAATGGTTTTCATAACTGCT